AATATATTAAATTAACCTTAAATGTTTTCTTCTTAAAGAATTTGTTCCTTGTTTTATTATTTTAGTGTCTTTAATCCAGCTGCAAATAATTTTTATATGGTATATGGTAGTAAACTAACTTTTCTCTATACATAACATTTGTTTGAAAAGTCTATCTTTAGGTTCTCCCTTAAGCCACTTCTTCAATAAATTCATTTCCACAGCATTGGTTCTTTATTCAGCTCCATTAGTCTATTTACTGACCAAAGTTCTAATATTAGTGTCTTATGTAGAAGGATTTTAGAATAAATCATTGTTTCTAATAGAACACAATTCCAACTGCACATCTAGCCAAAACTCCTAATTCTTTATACTTTCCCTGTTTATAGTGAAGAACTACCATGTTACCTTTTGAACAACTTCTCACCATTTAGTTACTGTTAATATATCAATTTTGACTTCTATTTAAATACAAAATGTCATCATAATTATATAAGAAATAACTACATAAGTTCATCTATGTATTTTATTGATTTTTCCCTCTACTTTTTTTTTTATATCCCATGCCATTCTCCTACATGTAATTTCTGTTGTGGAAGTCTTTGAATTTTAAGTTTGCTTATGAATTTTTTTCTATTTTGACCTAACTCTTGAATGAAATATTTTTTGACAATTCTCTCTTAGCACTTTGAAGATGTTACTCCACTGTAGTCTGTATCTATTAGTATTGGTTTGGCATGTCAAATCCCTGGTGATTTTTCAAGTCTCTCTGGTAGTTTACTGGATTTTCTCCATAGCCTTAATTGATATCCTGAAATTCAAAACAACACTCCAAAGTGAATTTACTTATAATTATTTTGTTTGGTAGTTGGGCAGCACTTTCCATCCATGTTTTCTTTCGATTCTCTTAACAGTCTCAATTACTGGCTCAATTATTTTTTTTTTAATCCTGCCATTCTTTTCTTCTGAATTTCTACTGGAAGCATTTCTAACTTCTTATCTTTTTTCTAATTTTATTAAGCGTTCTTTGAGTCTTGTCATTTCCTCTTTCTCTGTTCTGCATCCTGGATAATTACCTTAATTCCATCTTATAGTTTTTAATAGAGTCATCGATTATGCCCATATATTTAATTTAGTTTACATTATCCATTGCATTTTAATTTTATTTTCATAAACCATTATATTTCTATGTAAAAGTTATTATTTTATGACTTTGAAGGTACTTATATTTAGTTTAAAATTTGATGTGACTACAATATAAAACTAATTTCATCTGAACTACAGCTATGTTCTAAATGCTGGTTATAAAGTTTTAGATTTCTTCATGAGTTATAGAATTTCATTTTTCAGAATCTTTTTGAAAGAGTGGTGCTTTGTTTTATCTTTCTCACCCAGACTCCCTCCTATGCTCACCCTTTCTGTCCAGTGGATGTGTGATGGCATACTTATCCCCCAGGGGTCCAGTGTTAAAGTGCTAGTCCAAATTTATTAATCCACAGAGGTATCTGGAATATCACAGATTACATTCCAAGATGACAAATGGGCAGCTTAGTTCCTTCTCCAATTGTAGCACTGTTCCCTGTCTCACTCAGGCCCCTGGACCAAAGCTTGATTAAGTCACAGTCCCAGGAATATCACTCCTTTTCTGTGTGAATAATAACATCCAGACTGTCTCCCAGCTATAAGATGTTTCTGCTTCTGCAGTCAAAGCAGGAGAAACCTGAGTCCCTCTTGTGCTGCCAATGCCTCTTTATACACCTAACAAGCCTCTGGCTTCATGTAACATCACCACTTTGCAAATCTATTCCCTTTCTAGTCCACAGATATATTTACCTTCTTATTAGCTCATCTCTACTGTTCTGTATTTTCTCTTCTGTATTTTCTCCCAGAAGTATATAATTGGAAAAGATGGGAGGCATCAAAGTTAAGGTGTCATGAAACCTTCAAGTCTCAGCGTTGAATGTTTTCCCAACTTAATTAAATTAAACTGGAAGAATACAGGAAAATGAATCATTCTGATGCAATGAAAAACAGTGATGAATGAGAAAGAAAAATATAATAATAATAATTAAGAATTGATCTATATTAAATATTTGAAGTGGCTTGGTTGGACAATGTCCTTTTAATTTTCATTTTACCCTTGTAAAAATAGCAAAGCAAACCCTGAAGAACAGTGAGAAATGATGTAACTTTCTTGAAGTCACCTGAATACAAAATGGTTGATTTGAAACAAGTGAACCTAACTCAAGTGAAAATCTATAGTGTATGCTACTGCTTACTACCTCCCAACTTTGCCTAGAGTAGTTCTATAATCCTAGAAATATCATTTTATTTGTCTGTTTTTTTACTTCTCACCTGTGAAAAAAGGTCATTATATTAAATCACTTTTAGTATAGTTTTCTAAACTCTTGTTATCTATCATATCTTAAAAACAAATTCATAGTTCTGTTTAACTTTCTATTTCAGAGTATCCTTGTAAAACTGTTTTTGGTGGCTGAAATGTCTGACCAATATATCTAAATTTATTTTACTACAATCTCTAATAGCATTTACATATACATGTATACATACATGTGTATATGTACATATATATATAACACATGTATATGTATGTCATTAGATTGTAAAATAAATATACATATGAAAACACCCTTTGAAATATTCTACAAGAACAAAGTAAACTCTTCAAATCATAAAACTGCAATTATAATATCTAATGAGTGTCAATTCAAGAAGTGTGAAATATCCTGAGTATGAATCTAATACTAAAGGTGTTGTATGAAAAGACTTGAGGTCTGTCTGGTCTTTATTCAGCCTCTAACTGAATCTTAACATTTTTGGATTTCAACTTCTTTGTTTTTAAAATAAGACAGTTGTTTTCTTTCAATTTTTATTAGTACATATTTGCAGTACATAATGAGTAAATTCATCATGGGGAGTTGGTAATACTTCTTAGTTCTTTTTAGGTTTCTGAGTTCCTTTCTCACATACCCTTAGTTGATAAATGAGGATTTATTAAGATAATTCAATGGACCTGTTAGTGAATAGACCAACAAATTTGGGCATGGTGGCTTATGCCTGTAATCCTAGCACTCTGGCAAACTTAGATAGGAGAATCACAAGTTTCAGCCCAGCCTGGGAAACTTAGTGACCTTCAGACACTGTCTGAAAACAAAACAAAACAAAATTTTAAAAGCCTGGGTATGTAGCTCCAGATGAAGCCCTTGGGTTCAATCCTCAATAACACACACACACACACACACACACACACACACACATTTATTCCCTTAATGATGAAATGTTTGAGTCAAGTTACTTTCTTAATTTGTCCCTTAATAATAAAACTATATAGTATTTAGTTTAGAAGAAGTTTTCTAGTCAGATTGTCTGAGTTTCTTTCTGAGAGTTATTGATTCTAAATTTACTCTTTTATCAAATAAGGTTAATCACAATTCCTACCTACAATAATGCTATGATGATTAAATAAGATAAAAAGAGTACTGCATCTGACACATAGTATGTGATCAGTATTTTTATTTATTAAGAATGGTACTCAACTATGTAAAGAGTGTTTTAAAATTAAACTTTTCTAAATACCTTAAATATCTCTAAGTATTAATTAAAAAGCAGGTGTAGGCATCTTCATGAATAACTTAGGTATTCAGAGAGAATGAGCTGTGATCAGGGAAAATTTCTTACTGTTTTGTATATACTAAAATCTCATACTCATGTCTACACGTATTCATTTGATCAGAGTGATAATTCAGTGTACATTCAGTGTTGTTGTATGGAGCATAACATCTAAAACCCGCAGGCAAATGGGAAAAACAGTGAAAATGAATGTGAAGCTTTAGCTTACTGGTAACACAACTTCATGCTCTGTTTGTGATCAGGGTGCTTTTGTCAGTAAAGAGACTCAACTAGGAACTAAAAAATCACTGTTTTCTCTAAACCCCTGGAATTGCTTTAAGATTGTGTGTGTTCTACGACATTTTTGTCAAAATATATTTTTCTGTATTTTGGGCTGAAGTGGAGAAAAATAATTGAAATATGGCAATTGGAGGAACAAAACAAAGAGATGACTAAAATATTATAATGAAAGATTCATCTTATAAAAATCCTTTTAACAAGTGTGCAATTTTTACAATATAAATAAATTTTAGGTAAATTCTTATTTTTTTGAAACATAAAAAATGGAAAAAAGAAACATAAAACTAACAACTCTGTCCAAACTAAAATTTATGCCTGCAGTTTAGTGTATTATATGTAGCTAGTTTAATACCTTTGGGCCATGTCAACATAAATTTTAAAATTGTTAGCATTTACCTAAAAACTTCAAACTACCTAAATTCGGGATCCCTTTAAAACTTGAAGAAACTACAAAATCTCTTCTTTCAATTTATGTTAGGAGTGACCTACATCAAAGAGCTCAATGAGAATTGATGTTGGAAACTGCCATTAAGATACAAATTGTATAATTATCTTTGTATATACATATCATTAAACTAGAATGGATGTCAATAAACTAGCAAAAATATCTCTATTAGTCATAGCACATTATTACAAAACAAAAGTGAAATAGTTTCCTTTACTCTTTCAATAAATGTAATCTGGACTATAATTTTCACATTTTACCTGTATACTTGAATTCAAATAATAATTCCTTCCATTGAAACCATTCTTCTATTTTCAAATGACAGTTAGATGCTGAGATAACAAGTATTTTAAGCCAAAATCAGCATTTTACTTTGTAAGGAAAATGTAAGCATGGAAGTGAAAGAAGAAAACTGATTTGGTAAGATTTAAACTGAAATAAACATGATAGGGTATTTAAAAATCTCTACAATATAGTTGAAATTCTAGCTACTTCAAAACTATATGTAGAAAAGCAATTCCTAAAAACACTCAGAATCTTTTGACTCTTTTCATAGATGTTGTATAGTAGGAGAAAAAATATAATGTTCAGTTGTTCATTTTGATTGCAGTTTTTAATGTAATCTGCCCTGTGCATCCTACTTCACCTTGTCAGAGAGTACTGCTTCCCCAGGGCTGCCCCAGGGTCCTGTTGACGGATTGATCTAATTGCAGTAGGTGCTGTAAACAAGGCAGCAACTCCATACTCTGCAAGCACACGGAAATAAGCGCCAGCATCTGGTGTTCCCACAGGCTTCCCCTGAAATGAGATTCATTTAAAATGTCACTGGGTAACATGTTTTATATTTCATTGACAGTTCAATACTAACACATTTAACACAGCAGTATTAAAAAGGCTGGGCTCTCAAGAAATCTTAGTTTTGAAATATTCCCATGTTACGTTATAAAAAAAAAAAAAAACAAATACCTGGGCCTCAGAAAGGATGTTTGCTTCTTCAATGCACCCTAAAAGCTTGTTTCCTTTGAAAGATAAAAAAACAGAAATAGGAGGATTCAACATGGCCAAATAGAGGAAAAGCCACATTGGAGTTACACAGGTAACTGGAAGAAAGGGAGGGACATACATCCTGATGCCAAAATCAATCTGAAATAAAAGACTTATAGATTAAACAAAACATAAGTACAGGAGTTTATAAGAAGGCGAAGCAGCCCACAGGGCTGCCTGGAGGACCTCCACTTGTTTGTAGAGCAGGGTAGAGGAGGAACTGCCCTTCTGGGAAGTTCTCAAAAAACTGATGGCCTGCAATAGCATGGCAAACTCAAGCCACACAGAATAGATTTGGGATATAAGGCCCCTCATCTCTTTTGCCTTTTTCCAAATGGAGGATTTTGCAGCCTGGCAGCAAATTTCACCAGCACGCACAAGGGTAAGTGACAAGGAATCTGCTCCCTCCCTGACGGACTGCCATTTATTTTATTTATTTATTTATTTTTGGTCTTACACCATAGTGGCTAACTGGAACCTCTAGGTTAGGACTGAAGTGGTGAAGGTAGTGAGTGGAACAGCACCACTCCTCCTGCCCTGCTGTCAGCCACAGGAGAGGAGAGGGATGTGGGACTTAAGCAGTCTTTGGCTCCAGCAAGAATGCCAGCCCTCCCTGCACTTTGCTTCCAATGGCACAAGAGAGGAGAGAGAAGTGGGACCAGAGCAGCCTTTGGCTATCTCCACAGTGGCAGCAGGTGCAGTGGGTCAGTCAACAGTATTCCCCCCACCCTGCACCCAGTAGTGTGAAAGAAGAGAGAGATGTGCCAGAAGAGTAGAACAGAGGGAACAGAGGAGACTGGGCAAGGACCTGGAGGGTCCAACTATACTCAGGCCTGGAACAGCCGTGGTCTGTCTCTGTCTGAGAGCCACAGCAACTGGGAGAGGGACACAGAGACAAACAGGGTAAGGAGACCTGGGAGGGCCATGTAGGAACATCCAGAAAGTTGCTAGCTGATGACTCTGGCCCCAGCCGAGACATCCAGAGACAAAGATCAGCCCCTCACCCAGCAATAATCCTACAGCACAGATTTGGGCTCTGACTTGGACACTACCACAGAAGAGTGGACACCAGAGGAATTTTATTTTCCTTTGTCTGTCTTTTTTTTTTTTGGTTGTTTAGGTTTTTACTATTATTGTTTTATTTTGTTCATCTTTTTTCTGTCTCTTTCCACAACTGTCTTTCTAGATTTTTTGATATTTTCATGTGAGTGAATATTGTCACTAGTCTTTCTGGTTCACTTGGATAGTCTTTTCTTTTCTCCTTCATTCTTTCTCTTTTGTCCTCTTTTCCAGTTTCCCAAAGCTCGAATAATTGTCCTTTGTCCTTCATCCTTGCATCTACTAAATTTCTCCTCATTTATCTCTTTATTTTTTTCTCCTATCTCTCTTAAACCACCCCCCCCCACACACACACACAGGGAGAAAATCACTCGGCTAAGAGGAAACTCACTACATACAAGTTCCTGGTTTATTATATATATAGTCATCACCATAGTCCTGTGACAAAGGCCTGGGTACTGGGCAAAATAGATAGCAATTTCTCATCCCTAATAAATTGGGAAGGTAAAAATAAAATGGGGAAGGTAGAATCTTGGGACAGACACAAAGTCCAAGAGTCAGATACATCTAGAAGACATCTTTGAGGGATAGATATTTCCTAGGGGAGCCTCTATACTAGTGATAAAGCTACCTACCATAAGCAATTTACAAGCATCAACACAGAAAGCAAATTAAAATTTAAAAAATAGAAAACGATAAGACACAGAAGCAAAATGCAACTGCAGACCTCCAGCCTACCTAGGACTAGTCCAGAGGACAATGAGACAGAAGAAATCAGAAGCCCATCTACTTGAATTTTTGAAATGGTAGCACTAGAGCTAAAAAACCAACAGATCAATGAGGGTATAGAAAAAAATCAAATCAGAAATAATCTCTTAGAAAAAAAAGAGATGACAATCATAATGAAGGAATTGCTCAGCAAATGTAGAGTAGACACAAATAAAAAAATACAGGAGCTAAGGAAAATGATAAAAATGATGAATGCCCAACATAGAAAAGAAATGGAATCTATGAAACACATTCAAACAGATATACAGGGGATTAAAATTTCTAAGCATACACAGCCTAATGAACCAAGGTGAAGGCATAATATCAGATCTGCAAGACAGGATTGGAGTTAGTGATTAGGAAAAGAAAAAAATTCTTAAAAATAGCAAGGGACCATGAAAAAATCAATTAAACAGCTTCAAGATGTTCCAGAGAAGAAGAACATAAGATTGGAGTCAATGAAAAAGCAGGAGACAGTGCAAATGACATAAAAAACCTGTTCACAGAAGTAATGCCAGAAAACTTCCTAAGCATAGAAAAGAATTTGACACACAAATAAGTGAGGCATATAGAATTCCAAATGGCTATGACTAAAATAAATATACACCAAGGCATATAATAATCAAGATTCCAGAAATTCAGCACAAGAAGAGAATATTAAAAGCTGTAAGAGAAAAGAAACAAATCTTACATAAAAGAAAGGACATGAGAATCACCACAGACTTCTCAGTATAAACCCTTAAGTAAAGGAAAGCTTAGAATGAAGTATTTCAAGTTCTGAGAAAAAACAATCTCTAACCACAATTGATGTACCCTTAAAAACTCTTTCAAAATCAGTGGAAAAATAAAATGATTCCAAGACAAAGAACAATTGAGTAAATTAATGATCACCAAACCAGCTCTACAAAATGTTCTGAAGGAAATTTTAGAAAAAGATAATGAAGATTGCAATTCCAAGAATGCCAACAGAAAGGATCTACCAGGCAAGGCAAGCAATTCAACACAGAGGAAAGAAAAGGAACCAACAACAGGAAAATAATATGGCAAGGATAAACTAGTACATATCAGTTATAACCATCAATGTAAATGGTGTTAATTCACTAATCAAAAGAAAGAGATTGGGCCAGGGATTTAGCTCGGTGGTTTTGCCACCTGCTCCACAAGCAGAAGGACCTGAGTTCAATCCACAGTACCAGAAAGAAAGAAAGAAAGAAAGAAAGAGATTAACAGAATAGATCAAGAAACAAGATCCAACAATATGCTGCATAAAAGAAACACATGTAACATAAAAAGAAATTCACAGACTGAAAGACAAAGGTTATAAAACAATATTTCATACTACAGGAACACAGAAGAAAGCAGGAGTTGCTATTCTATTGTCAGACAAAGTGAACTTCAAGCCAAGACTGATCTAGAGAGACAAAGAAGGCCACTACATACTTGTTAAAGGAAAACTCCAATAACAATCATAAATACATATATATACCAAAGACCAGCACACTCAACTATTTAAAATTAACACTCATGGACATGAAAAATCAAATAAGTACTAACAAAATTTCAATGGGTAACTTCAATAACCCACTGTCACAAATAGACAAAAAAACCAACAAAGAACTATCAAAATTGAACTAAATCTATGAACAAATGGGCTCAGTAGATGTCTATAGAATGTTCCACCTCACAACATCAGAATACATATTCTTCTCAGCTGCACATGGGATGTTCTCCAAAGCAGACCACATACTAGCTCATAGAACATACTTATGTAAATGCAAAGGACTTGAGATTATCCCAAGTATATTATCAGACCATAGTGGAATGAAATTGGAAAAATGAAATTGGAAATGACAAACAACACTACATAAAAACATGGAAATTAAGTAATACCTTCTCAAACAACCAGTGGGTCACAAATGAAATCAAAGAAGAAATTAGACAGTTTCCACAATTAAATCATATTGCCAATGCAACATTCTGGAACTTATGGAACACAATGAAAGTAGTCCTAACAGAAATTTATAGCAGTGAATACTCACTTCAGGAAAACAGAATGAGCTCAAATAAATAACCTAATGTTGAACCTTGAACTTCTAGAAAAAGAAGAGCAAATAAATTCCGAAGCTCGTACAAAGGAGTAAAGATCAGAGCAGAAATAAATGAATTTGAGACTAAGAAAACAATACCAAGAATCAATGAATTGAAGAGTTGGTTCTTTGAAAGATGAAATAAAATTGACAAATCCCCTAGTTAACTTTACAAAAAAGAGAGAAAATATTCAAATCCATGCAGTTAAGAATGAAAAGGGAGAAAACACAATAGATTCTGCAGAAATCCAAAAGATCATAAATACCTACTTCAACCTGTACTCAAATTAGAAGGAAAACACAGAAGAAATGGACACATTTCTAGATATGTGTGAATTACCAAAGTTGAATCAATAAGATATAAAAATTTTAAAAAACACAATACCAGTCATTGAAATTAAAGATATAATTAAAAACTTACCAACAGTGAAAACCCCAGGTCCTGATGGGTTCACTGATGAATTCTCTAAGAACTTTAAAAAAGATCTAATGTTACTACTCCCCAAACTCTTTTTAAAAATTGAAAGGGGGGCAGGGATCTAGCTCAGTGGTTCAGCTGTATGCCTTGCAAGCTCAAGGTCCTAAGTTTGATCCCAAGTACCAAAAAAATAAAAATAAAAATTGAAAGGGAAGCAATACTCCCATACTCATTCTTGGAAGCAAGCATTACCCTGACACCAAAACTAGAGAAATTTCCAAAAAAGAGAACTATAGGCCAATCTCCCTAAAGAACATAGATGCAAAAATCATCAATAAGATACTGGCAAACAGAATGCAGTAAATCATCAAGATTATACACCACAACCAAGTAGGATTCATCCCTGTGGTACAGGGATGGTT